GGCGAGTGGCACCGCATTCATATCAGTACGCATATCCATGAGTGTGTGATCTCTTAGACTTTCTGCTGCTACACCTCTAATTAGACCTCACACACACTCTGGCCGGGATAATTCATTTTCTTCCAAGAGGGAGATCAAAGGGTATGGCCCCCGCTCTTCTCCGAGCGACGAAAGAGACCCAATCATTTGGACAAACTTTCTGGTCTAACGATGCCTCAGGACCTATAGGAACTCTTGGGGCCTTGTTTTAAATACCCGCTGCGCTTCAGCCTGAAGTGGCCAATTCTTTTTTTGGGTGCTTAAGGGTTTAGATTTGAAACTCCTTCCAACACACAAGCAGGGTGTCTGAGTATTGGAAGGCTGGGCCGCTCTTAAACCCCTTTTTGGCGGCTGGACTGTGGAGGTGAGCTTGTATGTCCAAGCGTCACTGCAGCAAACCATAGTATATACTTCCAGGTTAAAGTTGCGTTTTAAAGGCGTTTTTCTGTTAATAGCCTGAGATCCCGAACACGCATTGATTTTGTTGACCTTGAGCCGCCAACGTTAAATGGCTGTCTGCCGGCTGCCGCTCCTCGCCAGCCACTTTCCAAATGCACTTCACCTCGGTTGGTGCGAGAGAAAGGAATCACACCGTCGTCGGTTGGTTTTGACCTCTTTTGCTGATCCCTGACGCCACGTTCGTTCAACACGTCGTTTCTTCGTCCCGGGGCCGAAAAGGGGCCCCAGGGATTTGGAAGATGTGGCTTTGTGCCGAAGTCCTTTTTGGGCAGGTTCACCCTTCACCGACCTCTCCCTACCCCAGATGGCGCTCCCGTCCCCCTGCCTTCTTGCTGCTTCCCTTCTCAAAGCGATCCTCAGCGGGTTAAGCCACCAAACGCAGGAAACTCGAGCTCGGTGAAGGGCACAAACAGGATCCGGAGGTGATGAGTGGAACCTGCGAACCTGGAAGAAAACCGTTTGGGGCGACTCGTGTTTCGCAATCCCAGCCAGAGACACGCTCATGAATCCCCTGCCACGAAAAGTGTCCACCAAGTGAGAACAATGCGCACTGCACCACAGAGTCCAGAACCAGACCTCTCTCGGAACACTTTTCATGCGAGGCATCCTTGAAAAGCGGAATCCAGGCAGGAATGTGCTGTAACTGGCAGCGAAATAGGCGGTGAGCACCCTCCGTTCAAGCACCCTCCCCAGCCCTTGACCACTATCGTAAGAACCACAAGTCTGACCGCACTGTTTGGGGAAACTAACGCCAATCCAACGCACCTTGGCGCTATATAATAGTACATGAGCGTCATACGCGTCATCCAAGTTTGGCACATTCAGCTGCTACGACGTGTCACCTGGAAAAATCACGGATCTAATTTCGCCTTTTTTCCAAGCTTCCGGCACACAGCCGCGCAGAAACTTCACGCCAACCTGCTGAACGTGTGGCGACCGGCCCTGGTTGGAAGGGAAGGGCCCCCCGCTTCGGAGTGGGATTCATCCCATTCATCCCCATAGCACCCTCGCCAGGCGAACGTTGAGGCTTGGGTGACCCTCAGGTCGAACGGACCTGTCGAGTCGGGTCCTACGTCCCTTTCACCTCTTCGCTACCGAACCGGTCAGCCGTCGAAGCCGACGGCCAAGCGTTCGACCGGCCGCGGATGGTTCAAACGGGCGGAACGCGGACGGTTCAGCCTTGAGGGGAGTACGGCCATCAAACATTCCAAACATGCAGTAGGACCCTGTGTTTTGTTCGGCGCAGGCAGCCAACCCCGTCGGAGCAAAACAGATTCACCCCTTTTTCACGAACTTGGCACTTGGTAAGAGTCCTGACAGCTGGACCTTCTGCCATCTTTTATTAAATAGTTATACAAACACAATCTCTGCAACAAAACCATGCCAAAACCACGTTCATGCCAAAACCAGTCCTTGGAACTTTCGCCCCCCATCAACGAACTTAGAACTTCCTCACTGCAGAGCACTTTCTTCACCTTTCGACGTCCGGTGTGGCACTTGACACGCCGGCCTTCTGCATGTAGGCGTCGATCTTGTCCACGCATTCGCGGTCGAAGCCGCGCAGCAGCATGGAGCGCACCATCACCGTCGTGTCCTTCCGGGTTCCAGCGGGTGACTCCTCCTTCTCTCCCCCTTCCCCAGAGGCCTGACTTGGGAATAGAGGGCTGAAACATGCCGGGGACCACAAAGCTATTGGTGGTGCACGATTGGGGGCATCCCCCCTATGAGTCAACCAACCAAGGGCATAGGTCAGGCCATCTAAGGTTTGACAAGGCTTTTTAAGCTTCGGGTCTTTGTTTGGCCTGTTGACCTCTGGCCTAGGCGATTGCAGCCTGTGGGAGACGATACATCATTGGAAGGCCGGTCACACAGACGAAAGAACGGTTGATGGGGACCCTTATCCGCTCGAAATGAAAGAATCACCTTCTGCGCACAAACAGGTCATCCAGTGCAAGGAGAGGAGCTTCCCCTCGCCTCGCGTTCTACCCCTTGTGGCTCCAAAACCAGATATTTGTTCCGGTAAGACTGACCTATCTCCAGCCCCCTTCTCCACTTCCCATTCAGCCGTGGTGCGTAACCCAAGCCGTTCAGGAAGCCGGCGCACTCCTGTTCGCCCCAGGGGTGGGGGGGTCTCAAGAGCACTCGCATCGCACCGGGGCCCCCGAGTGGAGCAACCATCATGCCCTGGTACCGACAATTGTTCAACCAAACTGAACATCCAACTGATGGTGTGTGCCCCTCTCTTTCTTCTTCTCTTATTATGTTTCATAGGAGCCGCGGCGAGCTCATTTCGAGTGTCCCTTGGTCAACGGCTGCTTCGGGTCGGTGGCGGATGGATTCGATGACATTCGACGACAAAACCCAAGGAATTGACGGTGTCAAAGTGACGAGTGGGGCCAAGCAGCGTCGACACCCTTGGTTTAAACACACGGCCTGGATTTTCATCCTGCACGGCCAAAACCTATCAGTCAACACATGTCAAAACCTGGGCATTAGTATCCCTGTAGCTTGCGCCTATATATGATGACCAGCTTATGGACTCATCCCTTCCGTCCCAGATCTGTGGCACGATATGCCGGGAGGCCAAGGCGATGTAGGCAGCGCCGATCACCAGTGTCTTGCCAGGGGCTTCCTTCAGCCAGAACACATCCTCAGCCAACGGACAGATCGGAAAACCCCCGGCTGGACAGAACCGAATGTGGGCACCGTACCACAAGACAGGGCCTATGCAGGGTTATGGATCGAGTCTCAGAAAAGAGGTGGTCGGACAGAACAGAGTTGCTGAACAGCCCCCAAAAAGGCAGCTCGCTTTGCCGGAAGCAAGGACTCGAAGAGTTGATCCTGAAAGGGAGAAAACCTGTTTTGGTGGGACTTCCCAAACACTTCGGACTGGACAAAGATTTATGATTTATATGTGCAAACCGGAAAGATCTAAATTACCATGTGTGTGTGTGTGCATGGACCCCTTTTCAACCCCAACCTGATATTGGCAGTCATATGGCAGTCCCTTGGATGTTGTGTCTGGCTTTCGACCCCGCGAGCTTTCTCAGAAACTCGCAGTCCATTCTTGTCTGTCCACACAGCCCGGTCCCATGTCTTCAGCGATCGATCAGCAGTGGATACGATGCGTCCTAGTCTATCCACTCATGTGTTGGAAACCAGTCGCGATTCATCCTAGTGCCGGCTTGCTGAGAGACCTACAGCAGGTCTTGATGTGTTGGACACCTCACTTGAGAAAAGCAAATGTATGTGGACTTGTCCAGAAACTCACTGGAACTGGCATATCACCAACAACCATTCACCTGGCCTCGCTGTGGGCCCCACGAGCACCCGTCTTCTTCCAACCACGCCCGTCCCACCCAGTGTCATCCGACGAAATGCAATGCTCATTCGCTCCTGCGCGTCGGTCCAAAGGCCGTGGCCGAAGGGTTTCTGGTGGTTTCCCATCCATCCTTTTGAAGGGATTCTCTGCACTGCTCACGTGGCTCACGACGTGCACGATGTGCCGCAAGACTTGGAAGTTGGGACTTGGGATCAAGGGATGTGATTTTTATCTTTGTTCGTCTTCGATGGTTCCAGAATGACTGGTTCTACTTGTTCGACCTTCTTTTCCCAAGTCTCTCTCCCTTAGCTGCACATGCACCCTTCCCCCTACCACGCCGCACTGCCCACTCCTGGGTATCCGCCGTTGTTGGGGCGCCCACCGGCGGCCAGTAAGATGAACCGTGCAGTGACCGTCTCCGTGTTGCCCTTGCCTCAGCGACATCGGACCAGTTTGGCCTTTCCAAACGCCTTCTCGAGGCGAAGACGACGGACCTTGCGACGTTTTTCGTCCCCAGACCTGGTAAGCAGTGAGCAAAGTGGGCGTTCCTCAGTTTGCAGTTGAGGTATCTACCATGGGTGGTTCCTCTTCAGTGTTAAAAATATGTTTTTGACAGGAAATAAGATGCTCATCCTCTTTTCAAGCCTCGGCTCCCAAATGCTCCCACCAACTATAGGTGCTACTGATCATCGCAACATAACAGGGTGATGCATGGTGGGCACTCACCCCAACAAAGGGTCAAAAAGAAGGGAAAACGGAATCTCCCTCTCTCGAGTGGCCATGACTCATTGACCACTGGAGTGGAAATCTATGATCAGTGGTACGAACTAGTGGCAGCTGATCGGATGAATTCATGTAGAATCTCGATTTTAACCCAAACGCGACCCTGTGCCCGAAACTGTGGAGAGGTCGGACCCGAATCCTCTAGAGGGGTCTGGGGTCTCAAATCCCTAGATTTTGAGGGACCAGTCGGGCTGTGAACGGAGCGTCTGGGAACATCATTTGACGGATGTTTACAATCCAAATGGTGTTTTTTACTATTACGCAAGATTCGTCTATACGAGCTGGATGTCTTGAAGTAGGTGGACAAAACTCGAGGATATTCACCCATGGGGCACCGATCAGCAACACCAGGGCGATCTGCTGGATGTTCTCCCTTCTTCTCTTGATCTCACGCAAACGTTCTGAACACAACTCCAGTGGCCGTCGTCCAAATGGATGGTGTGCCGGTCCTGCCACGCCGCCCACGCCACCGTTGGGAGCGGGGGCGTAGCAACGCACCAGGGCGTTTGGCACCAGAGTTGGTGAACGAAAAGTCACGGCGTCAGCACTGCCGGCTTGCGAACAACACTTGTCAGGGCTTCGTAGAATCATTGCCAGGATATGGCAGATCGTTACGGCCCCCGGCACCAAAACATTGAGTACAATGCATTTGAGAGCACGATGAGCCTGTGCGCTTATAACGGGAATGATCCTTTCTGATCATCTAAATGCATCTTGTTGTCATGATGATGAGACTCTGGGTCAAAATTACTTCCAAAATCTGTTGCCCAACATATTTTGCCAATTGTTCACTTTCAAAAGAACACCTTTTCGCTTCGAAAGCCTGAGACATCTCATTGACCCCCACTTGAAAGATCATGAAGGCCGCTCGACCAGGCCAGCCAGGTCTTCCCTTGGCCCAGGACGGATGTAGCTCATCGGTGAAGCACCAAGAACACGCAGAACGGGCCGCGGCGGGATCGGCCCGTCGATGGATCGATCTCCCGAGCCCTTCCCCTGGCTGGGTGGGACCGGCTGAGACGGAGCCGGAGAGAGAGAGAGCGGCGTCATCCCTGCTGAAGTCCCCACATCGGACGGTGTCCCCGGGGGGGGGAGGGGGTTGTACGGACAAAGGTTGTTGGACGGATCGACGGATGTTTTGTGTGGCACTCCTTGAGGGTGGCGTACTTGTTGTAGTACTTCACGCCGTTCGCTTCGAAACCATCCAGAAGGCCCTGGCGGACGCAAGTAGGCCAGCGCTGGCCAGCGCGTTCCACGGGCTGATCCCCCCCTAGCCATTGTTCTCAGCACAGAAAGGCTTAGCACACAACGGAATCCTAGTGCTGTATAGCACGATCAACACCCGTTTCCTGGCCCAAACTCCTCTGTTTTCTTCGATTCGGAGTGTCTGGCGTCAACCAACGGGCACTTGCAATGCAGGATGCGATCCATGTGGTCCTAAACAGGTCTTGGATCCATCTAGGCCATGTGCCTGTCGGTCTTCTCCCGTCCAATGCGGGTGGAAGACCGACACACTTCTTCCGGTCTTAACGTCGCCGGCGTCGTGTTTTTTGGCAATGGAAGGATGCCAAGAAACACAAAGAAGAACGGACACCACCACCTTCCAAGGGGTACTACTTATGGAGATGGTCCAGGGAAGAAACGGTGTCTCACAAGGCATTTTGGGCTACCCAACCATGAGGATGTAAACACACTCGGAGGACTTTTCAGCTGGTACTCACCACCCAACAGCTCGTTGGAGCACTTCCATCTAATCTCAGTGTGAAAAAGACACCTCCCGGCCGCAGTATCACCATAGATTCGCCCCAAATCAGCCACTCCAAAAAGTAGATCTTCTTGAAGAGCTGCTAAGCTTCTTCCAGCTTCTACCACTTTCCGCCACTTTCCCACCACCTTCCACTTTCCACGGTTTTCTTTTTGTGTCCAGCTCCTCTGCTCACGGCCGCTCACGGCCGCTCCGACTCTCGGACTCTCCGACTCGACCGGGAGGTCCACGACCACCGGCCGTCGCGTGGCCACGAAGAAGTCGTTGCACAGCGCGGCGTTGATGGAGACGCGCCCATCGCGGTGGAAGGTCACCCCATAACCGTCCTCGGTGCGAGCGACGGACACGTCCGCACGAACCCACGTCGCGGCCGCAAGGGAGGGAGGTTAGGAAGGGAGGTTCAGGGAGCCCACATCCACGGCTGGGACGAGCCACCCAGGCCCTCCATGTGACTCCTGGGCATTAGCCCCAAGGGCGCGCTTTGGGGATGGACTGGGTGCCGGGCTTTCGAAGTGGCAGCTCTGAGTATGCCAAAGAGCTGGGAAACTTCCTGTAGCTCCTTTTCTCCTTGTTGAAGAGCTGATACCCCCGGCTCCGAATCGCTCCCCTCCAGAGCAAAAAGCTAGATAGAATTCATCAATTCCAGGACCACGGAAGGGGGTGGTTCTTGGACATGGTCATCACCACTCTTTCACTCCGTGATCCTGGCAGTTTCGGTTTCGGTCTTTCATTCATAAGCCCTCCTCTGTTTCAGCTTCCCGCTTGGCATGGACCTGTTTTGATGCGGCGCGAACGCTGCGCACGACCCTCTGACTCGTCCCTCGCAGCACTTGGTTTCGTCGATGGCACTTGTTACACGCCAAAAACTGCGATGCGCCTTCACCCATAATAGGCCATAGCCTCCAACCTAGTAGCTTTCTTGCTATAGTTCCTTGCTACTACGATGGTGCTTTCCACCGCTGCCTCCGGTCCCGCTGGACCGTCCAAGCCGCATGCTCATGTCCGAAGAGGTGTAACCGCACCGAGCTCGCGCTCGCGCTCGCGGTGAGCGGCGTCAGCGGTCCATGGGTCACCTGGGCGGTCGGCCGTAGGCGGGCCCGGAGGGCTCCCTGGCGTGGATTGGAGGGTCTGTTCTTGCCGGAGAGCCGGGGTCTTTACATGGTCTTTACCCAAGAGATTTGGTGCAAAACCCAGGGTAAACTCTTCACTTTTCATGGTCTTACGGCTGGGGATGGGGGCCGGGTTCCATTGCACAGAGCACAACTACAGCTACAGCACGAGATGACATGCTTCGAAGTAATTCATGTTGATGTACAACTGCAGCCGCACAGCCTGGCGGTGCCTACCTTTTTGGAGTCTCGGTGCCGGCACCTCTGGGGTAGTGCCCAAGCTTTACTCCAGCTAATGCTTCACCCAGTTGAGACACACACACACACATATATATATATAGTTTTCCATATTTCTCCTGGATAATCCCAGTCACCAGCCTACAAGAGCACCTGGGTTGGGACCCATTGGACCCATTCTTGGCGAGAGTGGAGCAATGCCTTTGGATATCTTTGGATATTCCAGCTGCCTGGTGAAAAGCAACAACACATTTCCTGTGCAACACATTCCGGTCAACACATGTTCAACTCAATGTTCAGGTTCTACCGGAATGCTTATATAATTGTATGTAATCTTTCACCACCTCGACACATTTCAATGATGCAACCCGAGGAAAGTCAAGGATTTCTTGAGATAAAGCTCTTACCTGGATGCAGCGGGCTAGCTCTACCCCTCGAGTTTTAGCCATTGACCGGTCAACATAATTAAATTAAAGTTGACCTCCCATGAATTTTGTTTACTTAAAATTCATGGCAATATTTTAATATAATAAATAAACGGGGGGAATAAATAATATAAATAATATAATCCTGCCGTTGGCTATGAAAATAAGAAATAAGAAATAAAATAATATATGGCCAACGGCATAGATATAAATAAGAAACAAGAAATATAAAGAGATGGTAGGGAAAATAAATGACAGTACATTTCTTATTCATTTATTTTCCTCTGTCCCTCATCCAAAAATCTTAATGTGTGATCCTCCTTGTCGATTTTTGGATGTCTCTCTCTTCATTTTCATGCTTTATAATGCCATATGATGGAAACTTTAATTTAAAATAGTTTCCAGGTCATTCGCTAGTCTATAATTTATTCATTGGCAGGGTTTTTATCTATTGTCCCTAAGATATTTCTATTATTAAAAACCCTGCCATCAATTAATTATTATATGGTGTTGCAATTATTTGTCCCTTATCTTTTTAGTTCTTGTAAGTTGGAACCGCAACACCAATTTATATTAATATGGCATTTTATTATTTAAATAGCAAAGATGGGTTAATAAAATGCCATAGGTGGGCTGATATAATAAAAGATAGATAATAATATAATATCAGCCCTTAAGATATAAATAAAGACTGCACACAAATAAAAAGATATAACTAATAAATGCTGTGGGCAGTAGGGCCCAGTGGAATTAAGGGTGATGATAAAGTCAACGATGATGGTAAGTAGGGTCTTCGCAAAGAAAGACAATGGCACGTTTCAAGGTTGGGCCAGTTTCTTGCTGAGAAGGATGTTGACTAAATCCCCCCCCAAAACTCCCAAACCCAAAACCACCAGTCGGCTCGTCCAACTACCCAAAGGCTCGTGGCCTGCTCTTTCATGTCACATCTTCGACTGCGCTTCTGGCAAGATGCCAACACATCGCAGTCGGGAAACTGCAGTCGCTGATCGTGCGGGTCCTGCGGGTCTCGTGTGCTGGACATCAGGTGATCAAATGGGGATGTACATGGATCTACGTGCTACATAGTAGTTGGAGGTCTTTGGCAGTTGAACACAACTTGATCATGCAGAATCTTGATCAATCAACCCTTCCGACTCCGACCCTTCCTCATTTGGAGACAACAAAACCTCTGGCTTGGCTTCATTGACCGCCCCTAAGGCCGCCAGACTCATTCATGGACCGCCCTCCGCGTCGATCTCCTCCAGTTGAAAGGCGGCATTCCGACTGCGCGCGTTGGAGCGGAAGGAGTAGGGCGCGCCGGCGACGCGCAGGAACCCGATCGCCGGCGACGTGTCGGTTTCAGCCAGGTCCTGGGCTTGCTGGATGTGCCAAATGAGGCCCAAAGCTTGGGATTGGGGGGGGGGGCATTTCTGTGGATGAGACCCGTCTTCTGTCCCTTTTCATGTCACACGAGGGCGGTTCCCAAAGCAAACTGGCATCCAACTCTCTCGTTTCGGCGACTTCCCCGGCAAATGACCGAAAAGTCGTGGTGAGGGGACGGGGATGGGGTGTCGTGGTCCTGGTGTCAGGCCAAAAGGACCAACAAGGTATGCAAGGATACGCAAGGATACGCAAGGTACAAGTATTTAGCACTTGGTGAGGGGATTTGGGCGGTCCTTTACCAGCCAGAAGCTGCAGGAAGTCGTTGACCAGGCACTAAATGATCGTGTCACTTCACGATGTGGTCGTTCTACTCAAGTGCGATGGCGACCCGGAGGCTTTTGCTAATGCCAGGAGCTACTAGTAGCAAGAATGCTCCTAGTAGTGAGGCCAGGAGCCCCTAGTAGCGTCCTTGCTCCTAGTAGTTCCTAGTAGTAAGGCCAGGAGCCACTAGTAGCTTCTTGCTACTAATGCAGTTCCCACTTCCATCTTAGATTTTGGCCAACCGGTTCCTGCCGCAACCCATGTGCTTCGGTCGACACTTTTGACCGGTCGGCCCACCGACCGAGGCCCACCAATTCGTTTGGACCAACGAACATCGTTCCCGTGTGGTCTCACCGATGCCTGTGGAGGTGCCAAGACAGATTATAGACGTGTCACTACTCAGCTGGGGTACCTAGTACATCCTAGTCCATCCTAGTACTATGGACTAGACGAACGACTCGGGTCCTTCTACCCGAACACCGAGGCGCCGGATGCAAAAAGTGGGCGCCCGCCCCGCGGAAGAGCTCCGCCACTCGCTGAAGGCCCAAGTCTTCCAGCACTCGGTCGTGATTCCCTGGGCGTGGGGGGCGTACGCGTTGCTTGGAGGTCGTGGGCACTGGGTTCTGGGGAGGTTCTGCAGAAAAAAGCCGAGGAGTGCTGGATCAGAAGTTGGATTCATTTTTCTTTTCAACGTGCCTGTATAAGTAGGCACAAGTAAGGTCCCCAAAGCAAATCACCATCCCATAAGAAATCCAATTGCGGGGTACCATTCTTCTCCATCGACTTTCAAACTGCAGGTCCCAGGTGCGGAATACAGTACTGCCCTCCACTTTATGTCTTCCAAAAACAACCACTGTCAAAATGCCAGGAAATTCTGGACCGGCTGCATGAATGCGTGCCATCGCACCATCGCCTTCACCCCTCCCCGAAACACTTCATACACACACGTGCCCACCCATCGCGATGGGCGGTTCACTGGCCTGCGGTCACCAGCTTGATTTCATGTGGCTGTTCTTGGAGCCAGGCCAAGAAGTCCCGGAAGTGCTCCTCTGCGTGGCCCCATTCGGCCAAGAAGTCGCCGCAATGGATCAAGACCGAGCCGCCACTTGGAACCCAAAGGCTCCGGTGGTACAGATGCGTGTCGGACCTTGGGAGGTGACTCAGTTCTGCACGACGACTCCCGCGAGCGCGCCACCCTGCCCACCCCTAGCCACCCGCCGGCCCGGTTGTGGGTAGGTGGTGGAGGTCAAAAACGGAAGAGAACTCTGGGACTCTGAGAAAGGAACAGGTGATATGAAGCAGTGGAGCCAGAATAAACGTGCCGCTATGCAAAAGCCATGCGTGTGGTATGTCCTTCTTGTATGTAAGGCCCTCCGCCATGCAGCCAGTTGTATGCTTTAGTGGAGCTTTCCAGTTCACCACGCATAGACTCCGACGAACACATCACATGGTGGAAGTGGATGGCATGGCCCGTTGGAGGACTATTCTCCTCTATCAGGTGGTGAACTCCACTTCCATGTTAGATCATGTGAGTGTGCCAAGGATAGGGCTCGGAACACGACATTGCGCCCAGTTTCTGAACCCACGGGCAGTTTCTACACTTCACTTTGTTCAGGAATCCCGCGCCCGGCAACAAGAGAAACAGTCGGTAGAGAACACCCACTTTGCATACGATTGACCCCGGTTTTACTGGACGGGACTCTTCTTGGGGATTGTTTTGGTCGGCCAAGCTCACCTGGCGCATTCTTCGCCCAACACCTTCACTTGACCAATCACAAGCATCACAACCATGTTTTGCAACCTTGGCTTTCAATTCCTCAATGTGGCGTATCAGAAAATCCCTGTAGCAAACCAGGACGATACAACATGGTGTGCTACTCGAGCCATGCTTTCGGTTGTCTTACTGCCACGTCTGGTGTGGCTCAACTTCAGCCGACCTGAGGGACAAAAGCTGCCGCAACCCTCCTCAGCTCCCTCAGCCCATCCTAACATAGACATGCTACAGAACTGTCATTCGCACGGAGCCAGCTTTCAGCTTGGGCAACTTGGTTTCAGTGATAAATGCAGCCTTCCTGCTCTTCATGTCGACATACTGCAACTGGCCAGCGAGAACCCAGTTGTAGACTCGAGCATACCTGAACTTGCTTTGGTGACACTGTAGTGGGACACGCGGCTTCCACCCTCTTGAACTTTCTTATTCTCGGTCAATCCACCCATGCAGCAGTGGATAGTCACCAAGCAACGCTTACGCAGGGGCCGCTGAACAGCAAGAATCGTTGAACCGCTGGAACGGGGTCCCGCCATCAACCATAGAAACAACGGCCATGTCCGGCTGTTGACCAAGCTGCATTCGGTGCGGCCAGGAAAAGGTAAGCAAAACGTCATAGTTCCAATTCCTTGCTTTGCCATACAGCTGCCTGTTCAGAGTCGGTCCCGGAAGAGAGAAACCATGACGAAACGGTCTCCCACGGTGCCCCCATTCAATATGCTTGCAGGTGGCGATGCTGGGTGGAACGAACCTCCGGGGGAAGCACCAACGACCAAACAACCAAAAGTCCAATCCCAAAAATCATCCTCATTGCTTTTCGCTTCGACGACGGCCCTGACGGACAAGTCGAGACTCGGTCTTCGGTCGCGACGGGACGCGTCGAAGATCGTCGAAGTGTGCGCGCCGGTGCGTCACGGAGCTGGGGGTGCGCACCCGAACGGAAGGGAGTCGGGGTGCCTGGATGGGAACACCATCCAACTCCAATTTGGGTGCTTTGATTCTAAGCTTCAAAACGCGTTGCGATCTGAACTTGTTCATCCGTCTTTTTTTCCAGTGTTTGCCTTTCTTTGGATCCTTTTCGAGTCCGGTTTCGCGCCAAAAGCTCTGCCCACACCTCTTTACACGGCGCAGCCGCTGGCGGCATCGAAGCCCCATGGGCGCGATGGCGCGCGGCGGTCCGCGTCCGAGGACCGTGGGGTCGTCCGCATCGGACGTGGTGGCGCACTGCATCGGACGTGACACCGGCTATTCGGACCAATCCCTAGACTTCCACCATTGAATTGATGGTGAGACCTCGCTAGGAGGACTAGTAGGTTGGTGGCCATTCCCGCACGGCTTCCTGGCCCACCATTTCATTGATAGGCGGGTCATCACGAATCAACGACAGGGATTTTACACTAAAACCAGGCCGCTCCCATTCTTTTCATGGTCGAACGGAAGTCTTGGGAATTGTTATTCAAGGGACCATGCCATCCCCCTGTCATAAAGACTTCCTGATCTTTCTGGAGTGGTATGGATGGGGCCCTTTCTGGCTTCACAACTGATGCCGGTTTCCCTACAATGAGTGAACGACACTTTCTTTTGCTTCGAGGGAGCGGTTGCTGGTGGAGCTTGCTGCATACTGGAGCTTCCTTCCGGGCTTAACAACAACCAGCTGGACAGAAAAGCAGCGCGGCGCGGGACAGTGGATGAAGATTCTATATCATCCAAATCCACTATTCCGAAAAGTCTATTCACTGGAGCGGGCGTGGTGATGTAGCGTTTGTGTCCTATCACCAGGGCATCTCTACCTCTTCCTTGGTGTCTTTTCATCTCTCGTCTTTGTGGGGGGTAAAATCCAACATTCCCAAGCACCCCTGGCAGCCGGAGCCTGATTCAAGGTGTTCTTGATGTAACCTGCGATACCCGCCGGCATCCCGCCGGTGCGTGTTCTTCTGCGCATCGCCGGTGCGGGGGGGATCCGAGTACGCCGTTCCAACCGCCAGCGCCGCCGGGAACCCGAAGTCGGCGAGGCGAATGGAACTGAATCGATGTGCCACACGTCACGAAGCTCCGAGGACGAGTTTCGAACAGCGTGATGGTCTGATTTGCGAAGTGAGATCTTTAACCATCTTAAACCATATGCTTCTTGATCTCTTCTGTATAGAGGACCGCAAAAGGATCAAGCCCAAAAAAGGGGCACATCCTTTTCTTTCCCTTACTCACTCCACCATTGTGAAACCCACGCGCTCCGTTCTTACCCCTCACCATCCCCACCTTGGATGCTGCTGCACATCTCCTGCCAGTTGTGAGTCAGCTGCACTTCACCTCGACCAAAGAGGTCGCACGAATCGCCCAGAAAGCTGGTATAAACGTGTGTATCTGAAGGGCTCAAGTTTTGAGATGGAGGGTGTGTGGAGAAAGGGGGTTCAGCAAGAATGGCTTTTACGAAGTTAGTGCATCAAGACTACCTTCCACGAAGTTTTCTGTCTTTTTGTTGCGGTTCATTTTCCTGCTGGCCCACCATTCCACGAAAGGTCCATCAATAGCCCCAGGGTTAAAATGTTTCCGGGCCTTCCATTCAAAGTTAGTAGAACATACTTTTTTCAACACCCTTTCTGTCCATTTCTGTTGCACTGTCTACCCTTCCGTTTGCCTCTCAACCTCCGCATCCGCGTCCGAAAACGCACGGTCTATTCGATTCGGGTCCTCGCCTGGAGAGACCAGTCGAGGCCTGGGACCTCTCCGGTCCGAGCCAACACCTTTCTGTTCGCGATGCCTTACCTGGAGTCCCCTTGCCAGGTGTTGGTCTCACTTTGTGCATGTCATATTGCGACTTCGTTCCCTTTCAACCTGTCACAGTTGCCTAGGCTTTTGTCTTGCAAGTGGTGTCAAACGCCGATGCCAGCTTGTCCGAGCTGGAGCAAGCCTTTTTGGAAACTCCAGGTTGCCTGGTTGTAGATGTGCGCTTCAGTCTCACAATGAGAGACCCCAACACCTTCCAGGCCCTAGGCCTTCGATTCGCCAAAAACAAGTGCCAGACCGTCTGTCCTCACCTCCGTGCCTCCATCGGACTTCTGCCGAAAACCATAGCTCGCCAAATCGTGGATCTCTTCCTTCTTGGTTGCTGCAATGTGCATCAACTTCCTCGGCAAAGATGGAGGGAATTGGGCCGCTTTTTTGTGGCGGGCGCGTGTGTTCATGGACGTTCTGAGTTCGAGTTGAAGATGATCTGGAGGGATTTGGACAAGCTGAGCTATTTTGCGGCGGAATATCATCCAAATGCACTGGAAACTCTCCTTGCCCAAAAAAGAACCGCGGGAAACCCCACACGGCCACCACTGCGTCCACACGGCCCCGAGTCCGGGCGCGCGCGCGCGCGGTCCAAACCCAGCGGAAATCGCCCAGCAGAAATCGCCTGTGCACGTCACGGCTCTTGGGGATGCAACCCACGTTGACGCAGGTGCCGCCCACTCCCCAGGTGGTGCCCTGCGGCGAAGGCTTCACGAAGTCCGCCACGGCCACCCGCTTGGACTTGTCCCTCGCGGGGGTGGTGCTGGAGATGGACCGAACCAGTGGGAGGGAGGCTGTGGTCCGTGGCAGATCAAAAGGAGATCTTCCGTAAGCCTCTCAGACGTCATAGGGCTCATCCCTAGAAGTCCAAGGACTATATTTTGACCGGCTGATGTAAAGGAAGTTCCTTTTGGCCCCCCCTAAAGACCATTCTTTTTATAGTCTTCGACTTTTAGGGTCATAGTCACAGGCTCATAGGCTGTTGGCGTTGCCATGAGCCACTCACTGGCTCCAAATTGCAGGGGGAAGGAGTTGTGGTCGACGAGGTGAGATCCGGGCAGTTTGAGGTGAGATCCGCGCCGTGCTAGAACGACCCAAAAAGTGACTTTTAGTAAGCCACTTTTTGAAAGCTCTTTCCAATTTGTCTCCCCAGATTCTTCTGGAGTGTTACGAATCACACATGTATAGACCTGTAGAACTAAGAACCATCTACAGTAGATTGTATCTCCCCGTCACTCACCATCGCATCCATCGCACACCACCTGACATCACCCTTCCACCTCCTTCCCACACCCACCTGCCCCGTCCGTCCTCGCCTGGCCGCCTCCAGGGCCGCGGCCGCACCGCCAGAGCCACCGCCCAAGACGAAGAGGTCGTAGTCGTAGGTGCCCGGGGGCAGATCCACTTCGGAGTCCACCACACCGGCCTCGGGGGATCCACGTGGGGGCAGACCTGAGATGGTGTACAGAAAGCTCCACAAAAACGAATGGGGGGGAGGGATGGTGAGATTGTAAATCACATTTCTAGCCACGCGTCGCGCCGCGTCGCGGTGGTCTCCTTTTTTTTTTTGAATCTTCTACGGAGAAAACCGGAGAAAGCCATATATGATGGACTGCGGAGCGGAGGAACCCTTTGGGGAGTCTGAACCTCTCCCGTGCCAACTGCCGCAGCTTCGGCCGTGCCCGCGGCCCTTCAGTTCAGCGACGTTGGCCAACAAGGGCTTCAGTTCGTCCTTCTCGCGCAGAGCGTCCAACCGGTCGAAGCACCCGGGCTTGTCACCTCGCGAGGAGGGAGCGAGGCCGGAGGTCGTCGCGGCGAGTCGGGACATGGCCTCTCTGGCTCTATTCGACGCATACTAGGACCACGGAGGGGGGGGTTACCTATTGGATGGAATATACGTAGTCAGGAGTGTCCATAAACCAGCCTTTCAGTGCTGCTGGTAGATAGTGGATCCATCTATTCTACACCTCTGCGTGATATGATGCCCAGCGATTGAAGCCTTTCCACCAAACAGTTTGCGCTATGAAGGGGGGACCGCTGAGACTTCTTCTTCAAATTCGCAGACAACCTCCATCCGCCTTTGAAAACAGGGAAGGCACACCTGCAAGCATTTCCCGACTGGAGGTCCACATGAAAATGCCCCAAACGGGCCGCAGCTTCCGCCGATGATTGCCCGCCACTTCCTCCCAAGACTGCCTGGAATGATCTTGCCATCCACGAAGATTTGTGGCACGGTCTGGGCGCATGGCCGTCCGGCAGCCGACACATGGCCCACATGATCCCACATATGCCAAAAAGACACTTAACAAAAATGCCAGGGCAACCACACAGCTTCATGGATGTGGAGAATTCACTTGAACCATCGAAACCAGGATTTTTTGGATGCCTCACAGGTTCAGGCCTGGTGTGTCAACTCACAAGACTGGGGGCTTCCCATGGGAAGGTGGATTTGGATGTGGATGATCCGACTGGAACAGGACCATTCAACGTGCAACATCCAGCAACACAGGTCGGGAACCCGACCGGTGTGTGGCCGCAGGGTCCGCCCCGGCGGAACCGAGGGTGACGGGGGCTCGGCTTCGGCCGTGCGCCTTGAGTCGCCTCGCACCTACGAGCGATGGGCCTCCAACCTAAAAGCTTCTTGCTCCGCTCGTAGCGATAGCGCTTGGTTCCGTTCGTCGATAAGGCCAGCTATCTACTCCAGTCTCCAGTCCGAACCCAAAAGCCTCCGCGGACCGCGCGCGCGCGACCGGAACTCGCCGGGGGGGAACGCCTTGAGTTCGGTCATCCCCTTGAGGGTGTTCATGAACTCCAGCTCGTCCCTCCGGTGATCGGCTTCCACGACCTGCCGCCGAGCTGGGGGTCGGACGGACGTCAAATGACAGTACGAGTCCAGAGCAGTGATCTCGATGGATCATACAGGTGTGACACCCTGGTTTTGCCCGTATATCTTTGTAATGTAGACTCGTTGAGTAATACACGCCCCCATTTGAATTGAACATCATCTTCAAAGGGGGGCTTATTAATCAAGAGTCTACATTACCAGATGTTACCAGATTACAGGTGACATGCTTGCAAATGCGTCCACTTGCAAACGAAGCCTTAAGGATCTTAAGGCATATTTTTCACACACCTGGCAGCATGACAACAAAAGAGTTCCTCGGCTCAATCTCACATCCACTGACTCCAGTGACTGAACCCCCACCAGCTTGAGCTAGGCAACGAAGCCCGCGCTCGCACGCTCGCCAGTGTAACGCGCATGGAGTGGAGCCTTCAAGTCCTTGACTCCATGAGATTGCAAGATCATCGAGGCCTCCGTGCAGAAGGGGCACCATGACCTGGGTCGAAGAGAATGAGACGAGACGGTCTCGCGGTCTGCGGGGTGGAAAAAGACAGAAGCTAAGAGGTAGACAGGGAAATGCAGGGAATATGAGTTGGTGAAAACGACTTCACTTCCAGTTTGCCGCCCTGGAAGCTTCAACTCTCGTGGCTGAGAAGCACAACCTGCAGTGTTTTCTCTTTTGGAATCTTTTGGATTTGGACAGTGGGATCTCAATAGCACTCTCTGCCACCCTCAAAGCCAGTTCCTTCAAATCACTAAACTTAGCCAGCTATCGCTCCAATTGGTGCGCCACGCTGCAAAGAAACATGGCTTGGGGATCATGTTCCACTCAGGAATGCAAGACTTTGTTGACTTCAAGGTACATGGCACACAGTCTCAGGTGCCTTAAAGTGGTCGTGTGCGTTTACTAAAGCAGTGGACTCCCGACTCATCCGGTATCGCCCACAGTCCAGAGCGGCGTCTGCTCCACCACTCCAACATGTCCAATGGCCAGCTCCAGGCTCTAGTATGACTCTGACAGTTTTCCTGAAAAAGCCGGGTGACCCTAGGCTTCCTGGCCCACCATCAATTTAATAGGCTGAATCCCGCATATTTATAAGGATTTTCCACTACAAGAACCAGGTCGTTCCCATGTTTTTGAATGGTCGAACGGAAGTCGAACGGGGTGAATCTCACCCCAAAACTGCCCGAAGAGTTCCGGTCCAAACCCGCCAGGTTCGCACTCGCGCCGGTGCCGCCGGTGCCGCCCGGGGACTTGGCGAAGACGACCACCTGCGGCGGGTGGGCATGTCTGGGTCCGTTCGGAACGGTGCGCTACCGTGGCAGCATAAGACGTGACCACCGGACCTAGGTTCATCTAGGGAACCTACACCTTTTCGGATGCTCCTGGAGGTCGTTTCTCCACGAAACCGTCCTTGCACACCCCATGTGCATCTGCAACACTGGCGGAAGGGGGGGCGCCACCCGGCCACGTTGGAGCCGTGGCCGTTTCGTTTGGGATGCCGACTGAAACAAAACCGGCCAACTCGAAGCAAAGATAACCACTTAGGTTCAAACACTTCAGACACTTAGGTGATCCAAAGATATATAACCACCAAGCACATCCAAACAGCTCTCCCTCACTCCTTTTGAAGCTAGTTCACCTAGAGTCTCCGACTTCCAAGGAACTAACTCCAGGTGATACTGAAACTACACCCCCACCGTGCCACTGGTCCGCGGGAATCCTTGACAAACACGACGGTGAAAACGGATCCACGACGGACCTTGACACCACCCTAGTCTCTCCTTTCCTTGTTACGGTCGTAGCGATGGCCTCCAACCGAGCATAGCGATGGCCTCCAGCCTACTAACAATACAATGGCCCCCAACCTACTAGGGATGGCTTCCAACCTGCTAGCAATGGCCACTTTGGCTCTTTGCTTTTGCTTTCTCGCCACATGGCCACTTTGGCTCCAGTCGAGATCTGCCGAGCCGTGCTCTACTGCACCGCATCCGCGACGGCCGCTCAGTCGCAGGGGCCTAAGGCCTTGGGGCAAACCTTGAAGCCCGTCATGACCTCGGCAGCTCGGAGCATGAACCCGAGCTGACAGTGAAGGGGGGGGCACCCATGGAAGGGAAGAATCACCAAGCATTCCGCACCACATTCTTTCATTTTGGAAGCACTGCAAACAGGGAGTAGCAGGGAGTGAGATGGTTTCAGGGATTGAACCGCTCAATAGAATCTTCTAAAACGCTCATGCCCAGTGACCACGCTATAGTCCGAAGACCAGGTGATCTGTCCCAGCTCGGTGATCTTGCCGTGGGGTGTGGTGTGGCCACTGTACTGTGCGCCGTTCACGGTCAAGAAGTCGTAGCCCGCTTCCACCTCACCGAAGTCAAGTTCGATTCCAAGAACACGTGGGCCAGAGTCCCGCCTCCAACCAAAGAGCGATGGCCTCGAACCGAACTAGCGATGGCCTAGTAGGGCCTAGTAGCGTAGTTCTCTATAGGCCTCTTTTGCTTCACCTGCAGCATAAATGGCTACCCATGGCTACCCTGCATGTAAATGGCTCACAGCCATGCACCTTCATATGCACCTTCCAGGTGCTTCCCCGGTGCACCACCGTTTGTTCGTTTCGCCTGGAAGTCTTCCACCTCCATCTTCACGCGCTCTTTGACCTCGAAAGTGCAGTCCTGATGATTGTCATAGGTGCTGTAGCCTCGGGCCCCCACGTGTCGAAAGCGCGTGTCGAAAGCACGTGCGGGCCACACGCGGGGTGAGTGGGATTCAGAAACGGCTGATCCCATCATCTTTACGAACCCTGCCCCAAGCCCCACCCATCATCCATCAATCCGTGACTTGAGGGGGTTCACGACTAGACTGAAGCAGCATGAAGCAGCAGTAGTAGTTTGCTCGGAGTGTTTACTCGAACCGGAAATTCCGCGTCGTGCCCCCCACGAAAGCTCAGTCTCAGGAGCTGTCTGCGCTGTATCCGGGGCTCATGATGCATCCGACGCTGTCCACAGAGCAAGGGCCCATGGTCAGCTCCCATGGTTTTCCCGACACGGTCGTAGTCACCGTAGTGCTGTTTGTGGTAGTGGTGGTGGTCGTGGTAGTGGTGGTGGTCGTCGTAGTGGTGGTCGTTGTGGTGGTAGTGGTGGTGGTCGTCGTGGTGGTGGTCGTCGTGGCGGTGGTGGTAGTGGTGGAGGTCGTTGTAGTGGTAGTGGTGGTGGTCGTCGTGGTGGAAGTCAAGTTGGGCGGAAATTCGCAGTAGCCCCAATTGGTGCCCTGGTAGGGTTGGGGATCTTTTTGTTCAGCATGTGAGCCAATTTCTGTCGGATACCCTGATGAACAAATCCTAGACCACCTGAGCAACCTATTGTGACACTGTGTAGTGTAACAGTCAACTCACACTCTGCCGGTACACCGCAGCTGGTCGAACCCCAAAGGAACCAACGGTTTCTGGCTCTCGCGTGCCACGCCTGGCACACGGTGTCCGTCACCCAGCAGAACACGCCAAAGTCGTAGCCGTGAGTGTCACACGCGGTGGCGCACAAACAGTGACGATCCGTGGTGCGCGGCGACACCTCCTGGGCCTGGCGGCATTGGGGGGGCCCTTTTGGTCTTCGCGGCGCCCAGAGTCTGCACCCGTTCGCGGCTCCGTGTGGGACCGTCACGGATTCCCTAAACACGACCTGTCTGGGACTGCCATAGATGGCGATCAATTGAGCCCCCCTACCACCACCCGAGTCCCAGACAGGTCGTGTCTGGGATAGCGCTATTGGGGGGCTCGTCGGACCGAAGAAAAGCATGTTAGCAGTGGGTTGCGGGTCCAACCTTTAGACTTATGCCAGCACCGAAACCAACAGGTCTCCGAAATGGAGGCATTTGTGGACTTCAAAGTCGCAAGATAAATGGTCTAGAAAATCATCAATAAATAAAACAGGATGTTGGAACCTGATGGTGCATTTGTGATTAAGAAAACCCTGGATTTGAGAGTTAATAAGCGAGGTAACCGGCTATAGCCAAAATAATGAAAGACATGTTAATAACCACCAATAAAATAATAAGAAGAGAGGTAATCGGTTCGTGAAAGTTATGATAACATCCTACAGGTGCAAGTGAATGTAAATAATAGATGACCATAAATTCAATGACAAATAATATAGAAGGAAAAGAATTAAGATTGCAATTCCCGTTCCAATGATTGGTGTGTTTATGTCTTTTGGAGAAGAATACCATTATAAAATAGCTCATTAATTAAGATCATTTATTTGTATGATCAAAATATAGATGAAAATAGAGAAATATCTGTGTATAAACCTTAATGAAAGTCATGTAACCTCCCAAGATCCGTGATGAGTGTAATGATAAGAGATTTGGATAGAGCATATAAATATAAGTAGATGTTGATCCTGGTATATATTGCAGTCTTGACTGCCAAAAGTACCCCCCCACTTGGGGGGCGGCTGAGTCTAGACTATCTCCTTTCTTCCGAACGCGCTGTGCGGCGTACGCCTCTTGCACGATGTGCGTGTAGCTCTCCGAAGGGTTCAGGCCCTGCTGCGGGGTGTGGGTCTCACCCTCCAAAGGAAAGCTGTAGTGCGCCGAGTCCCCGGCGAGGCTGGTGGTGGGGATCTGGAAGTCGGTCAAGACCTTGACTTGGGCTCGATGGACGCCAGGTCACAAGAAGAACCCCCAGAAACCCCAACCACAAAATAAACAAGAAGCTACTGTATAGCTGGAGGCCATCGCAAGTAGGTTGGAGCCCGTCGCTACGAACGGGAGCGATTGAACGCTACGAACGTCACAAGACCTAAAGGTGCCTCTGCACCGACTCCCATTCCCCCTCGATGGCCCTTCGCCTCCGGGACGATTTGGAGGCTCCCATCCTCCCAGTCCGCTCGTCCAAGACACGCACAAGCCCACCTTGAAGCGCCCCTGGTCTCCCCACCAGTCGCCCCATGAGTTCAAGCAATGCCAATAGTCCGGGCCCCAACCGATCACCGTGATCGCGTGATTGGCCCAACTGTCGCAGGCGTGGGTGTAGACGCCGCTTGTGTAGGACATGAAGCCTCGGCCCGGCCGGAGCTCCACTTCGTTGGCAAAAGAACCGCCGATGGGAGTGAGAACAGAAACAATATCTCCCCCCACACACACAAAACTCGCGGACTCGTTCATCTCTCGCGCCTAACAGCAGCCCTTCCACTTCGCGGGGTGCTTTTAAACCATCTCCCCACAGAAAGATACAAAAAGGCTTTGCAGGTACTTTTCCCTAGAAGTCCAAAGACCCAGTAAAACCTGGTCCTTTACCTTCTTGAATAGTGTTTTTGCATGAGCAACTCCAGTAAAATGAGGTCATTGGTTTGTAGGGTTTGGCCGGTTTATCATGCTTCATCCCACTTTTCTGGGGTCGATCACTTCCGCTTCCAGAGACCGCCTTCTCGCTGGACTGGACTGGGCGGATACAGGTCGGTGGCAACGCGTTGTGCCGGAAGAGTGTGGAGTCCAGTTGAGACGTGAAAGCACCAGAATCATTCCAATTCATGGGGAAACGGTCAGTGTTTTCCTTGATGGTGGGACTGGAGTGGCGTCCACTCCAAATCCAAATCCGCTTCAAACGAGACCAACCCCATCCAATGCCCCTAGAAGCCATAGTAACAGCCTTCATCACCTTGAGGCCTGGACCCGACCAGAACCACAAGCCCCACTCCAGTGAAATGACCCCCCCCCCCAAAACGCTCCGTTCACAGGACTTTTCTCCGGTCCCTCCCAACACCCCCCCGGACGGCCCCCGAACCCCCTCAACCTGAGGGGGTCCGAAACGGATCGCGCCAGTTCCTGACCACCGGTCAGATCGGCTCCGAGCCACCGCCGTCTGCATAGAGATATGCTGGGATGGGCCCACCGGTCATGATGGCCTCCCGCGCCAAGTGGTAGACACGAGCGGGAAACCTCGGGCAGCGCGAGCTACTCTGCGCGGCAAGCTACCGGTCGGTGGGCCCCAGCTCCGTAGAGCCAAGCCGGGAAAACACCATTGTAAAGATCGGACGCTACGAAGGGTTCACAAGTCCCAGGACAAAAGACCCAACATGAACATGTTCAGAAGGGGATTCACCTAGATCCGATGCCAAATTCCAGAAATCCACTGAGGCAAATCCAGGTCGTCCAAAAGCCGGTTCCATTCCTGCAATCTTTTTCCAGTCCTTCTCCCCCGATTCCTCGGTCCTTCGTTTGGGGCGACACCGTGGGATGTCGAAAAACGAGCTCAGCCACCGCTCGACCGACCGCGCTGGGTCCTTGTTGGGAGTATGAGAAAACCCGTTTCAGGACGTCTATCACATGTCACATGTGGGGTTGCTGCCCACCGCTGCCAAAGGCAACTTCAAAGAAGAGGCGGATGCTTGTAGCTGGCGATCTGGATATAGTTGCTGGTCGCGAGCTTGAATTTGTCCTCATCAAGGATGAATCTACTAAGCAAGTCCTCGTTCATGCGTTTTTTCTGGATGCAATCCATCCCCAAATCTTTCCCGAAATTCGACCACCTTTGCCGTCCACGTCCAGCCCTGGCCTCATCGATGCTTCGTCCAAAGGCGCTGTTGCCACACATCGTGGGGCAGGGCGGTGCCACGCCCGACTGCGCGAAGTGATCCGTGCCATCGCCGTGGCCGAAGTAGGGCGAGCAGCCCGCGGTGCCTCCGGTGGGAACGCCACTGTTGGCCATGAGGTCGAAGACCCACCAGGACCAACCACCGCCACAGCCATCTTCGCCTGACGGCGCGGTGAAGGTTTTTTTTTTCTTCTTTCGTGGAGAAAGTCACCACATGGGGATCTCTTGATAGTAGGTTGGAGGCCATTGCTGCGATGCTCACTCTTGGTTGTCCTTTTTTCCACGATTTTGGCTGAGTCGACGAGAGGGCGAGGCTGCCAGGTGCCATGACCCACAGTATTGTGCCTCCAGGCGGTGCACACGAGGCCACATAGCCTCGGCTCAGCTGCGCCGCCGCACCGTTGAAGACGCCGCCCGTGGCGATGCACAAGCGGGAGTCTAAGGCGCTGGAGGCGCCGAAGGCCTAGGAGAGGAATACGCACCCCCGAAACCAAAATCGTTTAAGGGTTGACCATGAAGAAGATGGTGGACCTGGTGTTGTAGTGTAGAACCTTTTAACCAATGGTTCTTTGGTTAAAGACCATTATAATGGTGGTTGGAAGCCTCGGGGCACCACAGAAACTACGAGGAATACGAAGACTATTACTGCTACTGCAGGTGCCCAATATGCATCGGGCCGCGCTCGAAGAAACCACTCGAACAAATCGATCGAGTTCAAACACTATATTATTATACGATAGGAAGGAAAAACACCTGCTCAAACATCATCCCAGCATCCCAACAGCTGCCGCATTGGCCTGAATGCCGGAGCTTCTCTTGATTGGTCGAGGTGTGCGTACATTACATTACTGTATGTATTTTCTATTTTTCGACACCTGCACAATGTGCCGTCGATCTTCCCTTGTTTTCCACAGCGGGGATGCTGTCGGGACAGAATCTCTGCCATGTTGAACTTGGAAAAACTGTGCATCCACAAATCAACTTCACTTACGTAGATCACATGTAAGAACCATCGAATTAAGAGATGCTAGGCTACCCGTATCTCACCCAACTGACGTTTCAGGTTGAACTTGCGGAAGGATGTGATCACTACGATCACTGGGAGGACCCCCGACCCAAGCCCCAGACTACCTGGGGAGAGGGTGGTGAGGGTGGGCAAAACAGAAAAGGTGAGGGGGACTCACTTACTTGAGACCAAAGTGGCACAGCGATGGCAAACACTACACTCTGGCCTCGTTTCATTGTTGTTTCGTTTACAATTTACAACAGACATCATTTCTGCGCAACAGTATTTGTTCGACACCTAAACAATTTGCCCTCCCCCTTTCCTTGTTCCACAGCGGGGATGCTTTCGGGACAGAATCTCTGTCATGTTGAATTTAGGAAAACTGTGCATCCACAAATGAACTTCACTTACGTAGATCACATGTAAGAACCATCGACTTAAGAGATGTTAGGCTACCTGTATCTCACCCCATCTCTTGTAGTCAACATCTACGTCAACTGTAACTATCATGCACTCAAACATGCTGCCTGGCTCAGTCACTTCAACCTGGATGGTGCATCTGCCACGTTACTTCGGGAGGCAATCCTGGTGTACCACGACATACAGTTGTTAGTGGAGTCTTGGATCATGCATGGCCTCAGTCAGCATCATTCGGGCCTTCGTTGTCGACGAAGCAGATAGCCCTGGCCCCTAGCAGCAGTTGGCGAAACTGTCTCCTCACTATCACTACCGGCATCGGCATCATCTCATGACCAAAAGCATGCCACTCTTCCACTATTGCTACCACGAACCCAAAGGCCATCGGTTTGGGCAACCTTGGTGAGAAAACAACTGCGCCGCACGAGGCTACGCCTGCTTCGTATGCCCCGTCGGTGAAAACTAAACAGGGTGGTTCATCACTCAGTGCCTCCAGCCGTCTGGGGGGGGGTGCAGCCCTCGGCTCCTGTACGTTGGAGGTGAAGAACTTGATGGTCTGGTCACTGGGGTCCAGAACAGGAATCACCGCGTTGCTCCGGGGACAGGGGGAGTTGCTTGTATCCTGCCTTCAGGTCAAGACATCTACCACACAACTCTGTCTGTTGCGGCTACCGCCACAGACCCTCATCCATGCGGCAGCTAGCGAGACCATCGTAACACTGCTTCACCGAGAATTCACTCACCGAAACGCCAGAGCGGACCAAGTCTAAAACATCCGGTGACTTTCCCTTGTGATGTTCAAGCCATGACAAATGTCCTTCACAAGGTCCACGTCCTTGTAACCAATGGTTTTGACGCGGTCACCAAGGAAAAGGACCTTCTTAGGCTCCAAAACCTCTGCCGCTTTGGCCTCCATCCCAGCGGAGGTCATCCACTGAACGCCCTGATACGAAGATTGCTGTTTGATCTGGAGAGGGTCTGAGATTCGAAGCTTCGCAATGTGCCCATCTTCGGGCAGCATAGTGATGGCTCGGCGTCCTCGTGGTTGCCTCCCGGCGGCAACGTGCCATTGGGCGGAGGCCTGCTGACACAATACTGATGGGTACTCTGCCTCAGCGGCTGACTGTCCACCCTTTGTGCTGATGGCGACAAGTGGAAAGTTGTAAAGAAGACACCTTCCAAAGCGAACAGCGCAGCGATACAAGGAACTAGCCAGATGTAGCTATTTGTTGGGTTCTCGATGAACACAAAAACACCGTTCTGGTGCCCATGCACGAAGACTTTGGCTGCGGTGGCACAGCAGGCGTTTGCCTTTCTTAAAGCCGGTGGTGGTGAGGGGATTCCTTGCCGCAGCCACTTCGGTATCGGTCGATCACGAGCCCTCGATGCGGTACCGCACTGCGGTGCCATGGGAATGAAGAACATGTTGCCTTGGTCGATGTTCTCTATGATGTGCTTAGCACTCCCGATACTAAACAAACAAGTCCAAAAAAGATACATGGACCTACACGATTCTTACATTCTTGTGGTCTACACCAACTGCAGGAAAACCATGCAACTTCAAACGCTTAGATAGTTGGCACGACCCTGCAAACAACTGAAATGTGTACGGCTCTTCGCCGGTCACATTTTCACTCTGACAGACAGGGTCTTGCCTGGGTGCTGGAAAAGCGTTTGTACAGTTGTCGGGATCCTCTGCAGATCTCTTGTCAGATCCTGATTCCACTTTTGCCTCAGCCGTGCTGACGCTGTTGCACTGATTGGCTCCGTGCCCCTGCTTAGCACTTCATGCATACGTGCAATCCTTTTGCGCGCTTGCCGTCCTTAGCCTTGCGTGTGCCCGTTTGATACCCATAGCAGATCCTTTTTCATTGGAGACAACCCCCGCAACTCCTTGGCATCTTTATCGGCATCTTCTTGGGCGCTGCCGGCTTCTCCTCGTCTTGCTTGTCGGCCTTGGTCTTCTTGGCCGCCTCAGCCTCCTTGAGTCGTTCTTTCAACTTCGCCTTCTCTTTCATCAGCTTGCTGCTTGATGAAATCACAGAACCCCGAAAACACATCACCGCTCGACTCACGCCCCTGCTCCTGAACCCCCCCTTCAGTCCTGGCGCAGGCGCTTCCATCTGCAGGACCATCCTGCTCCACTTGACCTCGGCCGGACTTCCCGGCACTGGGCCCGACAATATGGGAACTTCTCCCAACTCTTGCCCACAAACATACTTGGTCCCATTTACTGTCTTATTCACTCGCAGACTTCAGACTTCCCGACATTTCCCCTACTTACTTTGTTCGCCTACTCTCAACCAAAGATTCATGATTGGACTGCCCACTCTCGCTGTCAGTTGCTCTGGTCACTTACCGTATCCTTCACACACTTTACAGCGGTTGCCCAGCTCATGGACTTCATCCGCCAACTTAAACATCATGGCACCAATGGGTCTGCCGCATGCCAGCTTGCCCTCCACCACACTTCCGTGATGAATGGCGCCTGCCAAGCCATGCCCACACAACACACTACTCGACTTCTTGGGTGGTCCAACAGTGGATCTCATGATTGCCTCCAGGTTCTTCTCGTCCTCGCTGTCTTGACACTCTTCGCGCGTCTCTTCACTTTCAGACGGCATTGTCTCATACCAGTCGAAAAGTATCGCCTGCCTGAGACTTCACTTCATGCATTGACCACTTCTGCTCTGCCAGGTCAGAACCTGCCCTCCCTCACATCGGAGATCACTTTAGTCAACGCTTCAAGCGACTACAACATGACACTGCGGTCCTTCGGTTTGATGTGATACCCCATCAGGCACCTCAGTTTCTCTGAGATTGAAGCTTTCGCCATCCACGACAACGCTGTTGCCTTGGGCGAGCAAGCACCTACGTTGGAGAGGTCTTCTGGGCACAACCAGATTAACACTTCAGGTGTGGACAACCTGGCTTGTGACCAACCACCCCCGGAATAAGACCTGGCAAGAAAGGCCTACCAGGTAATGCACGTAGCCCTGCTATGCTCCTCAACTTCAGTAGGTGCGCTGGCCACTCCACACCTGTCACATCAACTTCTGGTCCAACCACAGGCAGGATCTTTCTCGCCCTTCCAACCAGGAATCGGTCTTGTGCACTGATGCCCCACCCTCGAAGAACCCACCTGAGCCTGCTGAACACACAGAGCAGACATTGTCCTGCGAACATACGATCCTGGATTGGAAGGGCTGAGTTGCTGACCACATTCTCCAGAGTTGCCACTTGGTGCACTGTGAGGGCATCACGTTGTCTCAACACTCGCTTGGTCAGGTAGCTCCTGTGTGCTGAGCCTGATACTCTCCCACTCTGGAGAACTGGGTCCACCCCATCCAACATGATGGTGCCCTTGCAAAATGCCAGCGCGCTTCTGAAGCTGCTTGCTCTAGTCGCAGGGGCCCCGTCTTTCCCAAGTTGGTCAACATATTGATAGCACACTGATTCACTGAGAGGGAACGGCTGCATGCCTTTGGCATGAAAGCCTCACGTCGCGGACCACACTTGGCCCATCTGCATCCAGCATCGCGGCCGCCCTGCAGGAGTTATTAGCCTCGGAGATCACTGTGAGTGCCTTCTCACGATCACTCACTTCTGCAGTCGCCCACGGCGTCCTCTTCCACCGCCCCGAAAGCTCGGGCCCAGTTTCTCTGGTGGTTCGTCAGGTTTGGATTCTTCCACGACGCCCTCCATCATCGAAGACCTCCACACCTTGCCATCAAGATGCTTCACGTTGAGGACCTGCGGTCTATTGTCCAACACCACCCCTGCGAAGCCTCTTTCCCATGGCGTCAGCAGATTCTGCGGCACCTTGTAGGTCAGCTTGTTCACCTCGCTCTCAATGGCACTGAGCTCCATGTTGCCCCCAACTCCTTCATGCACTGGCTTCGGTCTCTTGCCCTTCTTGATGGACCATCCTTGTCAATGCCACCAGAGGGCTCACAACCATTTCGTGATCTGCCTCCTCAGTGGCACTATCGTCAACTACCTCCGTCGGAGATCCCGAGCGCTGCGCATGCAAAGCCAATGGCCCATCTTCAGACCTCATGGCCGCCAACTGTCGCAGCCTGTCGGGCATTTCATGGATGGTCTCACGCATGATCTCTTCCTGGGAGTCCGGGATCTCGATCATCTCGAAGCCCCCCGCCGCCACTCCATCCCCCTCCATGGGGCTCAATTCCAAAACAGAAAAGGCGGGGGGACTCACTTACAGTACTTGAGAACAAAATGGCACACGATGGCAAACACTACACTCTGGCCTTGTTTCGTTGTTGTTTCGCTTGCAAAAGACATCATTGCTGCGCAACGGTATGCATATTCCTATATGACCAGCAACGCTTCAACCTTTGGCCGGCAAACACGCACTTGGTCGTGACGCGGGTGGCACATGCCACAAAACGTTAGCACCGTCCACATGCATTGCAATGTACAACGTGTGCCCTCAATGTCAACACAACATTTACCAGGTAGGATGTAGTAGGATCCGCAAGGTTTTTCCATCAGGTCTCCCGGTTCAACAGGACCTCGTCTCCCAGGCATATTCACACGCACCAAACCAACACCTTGCTACCCTTCCAAAAGCTCATTTGCTTCGGTTGCTTCGCTTGCTTGGTGCTCAATTCAGCACCCCTCGTCTCGTGCCCGTCGTCGTCTTGAGACGCCGAGACCCTCCGACCAACTCGCGCTCGGCCTTGGTTGTGGATCCGTCCGATGATCTCCCGGCAGTGGGGCCATTGATCCTGCGCCTCGAAGGTGGCTGGCAGGGAGCGCGTGCGCATCGTCTCGGTGATGCTGGCCGTCTGGAGGAAGGACCTCCGGGCCGGCGCTGGCGGGCGTGGATGCGGGGTCTCCGCGCCGGGCACGCGGTTTGGGGCGGTGTGGAGGGTTGGGGCGTGGTGAAGAAGGAGGGTAGGCAGCGCTCCAGGTTTGGGGGGGAAGCTTGGTTTTGGAATAAGATGGAAGAGAACGTCTTCCAACAAACTTGGGCAAGTGTGACAAGTTTGGGGTGGCACTTGGTGGGAGAAGTTTCTTTTTTTTCTCACTGGGAACTGTGTGTGGACTGTGCATCCCTCCGATGGTCACTGCCTACTGGGGGGTGTCTTCATCTTCGTTTGTTCTGATGTCTCATTCGTTCTTGTGTCACCGATCGCATGGCTTTCAACGGATCACAAGGAAGTATGCAAGCGGCACCACCCCCAAAGGTCACCTGCGTCCCAACCGGGTCACCGGGTCTTTACAAAGAGTTCATTAGCCCTCAATGGCTTCAGAAAAAGAAAGAACCACCAAACTCCCAGGTAGAAGGTGACAGCGAACCTGTCGAAGCATTTTCCCATCACAACACGTCCACTTTGAAGGTTCTTCAAAGTCTCAGATCTTCTTGCAACCATTCGACCTCTTTTCCCATCGCGTGCGCATGCATGCAGCTCCGAGTGGCGCATGCACAGAGCTGTTGTCGTGCTGGATGCCGGTGCGCCGCTGCAAATCCATCTGGGAGAAGTTGGCCAACCAAGCACTGAACCTGCATGGACGCATCGATGCCATGCATGCGTGCGTCGACCGCGGTGCGTTTTTGTTTTTTGGACTTGTGGTAACCCACTCCGCCGTGACTTTTTCCTGGGAGCTTCGTTCTCGAATGAAGCGAACTCGGGTTCGACTTCCTCCCACCAAAAGCCTGACATGGTTCTGAGTGAAGCCGTCAACTTCAGATGAGAGACTCCAGAGTGAAGGAAGACTCAGAACCGTCAACTTCAACATGGGTCTTGACCCTGTTGACATGTTGAACCGTCCACTTCAGAAGAGAGACTCCAGAGTGAAGCCGCTCTCGCCCTGCAAGACCTGGAAGAGCTTCTCGGTCAACACCGGCTGCTCATCCCGCAAGCTTTGCAGGAAATCCGTCATCCACACATCGGCCTCCACAAGTGAAAAGGGAGCTGCCCGAGAAATTCCCCTAAGTGGAGAGCTTCGCACATGCTGGAAATCATTGAATAGACATTCAAAAGCATACAGTACAGCATACAGTACAGCCTTCAAAGACCATTGAAGGAATGCTTGACCTGGTTTTGTAGTCTAACATCCTCAGTAAATCAATGGTTCTTTGGTGAGCACCATTGTTATCTTCCAAGATGAATGGTCTTTTCTGCTTTGGACTCCCCACTTCCATCAAGTACCCCCCTCTTGGATGGAAAACGCAAGAAAACGCCACCGAGGAGACCGGGGCATCAACCGAAGGGTAGCCGCCTGTGTGGTGGCATCCGGGATGCTGTCGATGGCATGGTGCTTGCACATGATCTCCATCTCCTGCCGCCCCAGAAGCTGGGCATCAAAGCGCAAAGACCAAGAGATGCGCTTCACACACAGTGAGAAACAAATGAAGGAGCGCCCACACAGCTTGAGCAAGTGTAGCAAGGTCCACCTCCAAGTAATCCAATGGTCTTCCTTGGGCTTGATGTTCTTGAGGAGTAGATTTAGATGTTCTTTGTCGTCCGGGCTGTGTTTGAGCTTGAACTGAACTCATACTAAGAAAACCCTAGTAGCTTCTTGTTACGGTCGTCGCGATGGCCTCCAACCGAGCATAGCAAGGGCCTCCACCTCAAAAAAACGCGTCCACAGATTGTATACCAGGACCCTCCAACAGGTCACCAATTGAAACCTGTTAGAGCCTAACAACCCTCCATTTCGGAGACCTGTAGAGTCGGCTGCTGGTACATATATGCTAAGAAGATCCGCCGGACTCCGCGGACAGAACGCCACCGACCGGTCGGCCGCGGAACGACCTGTGAAACTTCTGCAGCACTTCTGCAGCTGTGCCACTCTTCTCCACGGGCGGAGACCGGTGCGGCAAACGGCTCCGTTGGTTCCAAAGGTCCGCCCCAGAAAACGATGACGGCTGCGCCCCAGTCAAGTTAGTGAAGTTCAGTTAAAACAACAGTAGTATATTGGACCAACTACGGCAACAGGTAGTCCTATGGCAGTTACCTATGGGTGTTTAAACAAGAACTGGAGATGCGTGAAGTTAGCCTTGTTTCTTTCCCTCTACCTCGGGGTAGAAACATGGAAGTGTGGGGGTGTTCTTGACCACCCTTTCAACATAGCAACTTTCCCACTGTATGAGCACTAGCAATGATCCATGCCATGTAGTCATCCTCACCTCTGCCGGATCCTGACTGACCCCCCCGCTACGACACCCACCAGAACCGGACTTTGGAAGCGATAAACCACGACAACGGCGACGAGGTGGCCCCGTCTTCCCTCGGAAGAATAACAAAACACACCAAGACTCACGAGGCCCCCAAACACCTTGCTGTCCCCGGCACCATCCACCCTCCCCACACCTGGATCCTCCAACTATGCCAAATGTCTACCCTTTTGGCTGTCATTCTTACATTGAAGAGGAGGAAATGGGTGGCAGGTGGGCCATGTCTGCCAGGTATGAAACGACTTCTTCTCCAGTTCCCCAAGTGCCACGTCGTTCTCGCGGTCGCGTTCGAACACGTTCCGCTCGAAGCTCGGCTCCTCCATGACACGTTCCTCGAAGGCGGTGATCTCCGCACTGGTGAGTTCGGTGTGGAGGCCTGAGGACTGCACGAAGTGGCTGAAGTGAACGGCTGCATTCCTCGAGCGCGGAGCGCGGAGCGGCGCTGAGCCGCCGCGGTTTCCTCCCGAGCGAAGTGGAGCTCAGCCGCTGGAATCACCCAAACGCCATACAAGAGTCCATGAAGTTCATTAGAGCCGGTGCACAATTCAGACGCTTCAAATGCCCCAGCACAAGCAAAGAATTAATTCTAACCAGCAAAGCTCAAAGAGTGGTTTGTAGACCCTCCCTGAGTATGCATGTTTCATCCAATCAACTGCTGGGAATTCGTTGCTGTTTGTCCAGTCTTCCTTTTGATCTGGTGCTTTGTGGGACGCATCCCCACAACTTTTGCCGCCACGTCGGAGTGGTTTGGGTATTGTTCAGTTCATCGCTTTCACCACCTGTTTGGTATTGACTTCATGGTCCTCCGAGTCCTCCAAATTGGCCCAGGAGGATTCCAGTGATATCGATGACACGTTGGCCTCAGTCGCCTCTCTTTCTCTATATCTGTTGCTGGTAGGGCAACACAGAAGAACCACACCAACCCAGAGCTGGCAACACACATACCTGGTTCCAGCACCACCCAAAGGGTGGTTCAAAGAAGCCCCCTTTGAAGATACATCCAACAACAAGCCTTTTGGGTGGTGCTGGTTTCCCTTTCCATTTTTTCTTAATAAGATCAGGCTTCTCTAGGCACGTGTTCTCACGCCGGTAACTCCGTGTCTTCAGCAGCTCTCGTGCGTGCTGCCGCAAATCCTGCCGCCCCGCCGGCCAGAAGACGTTCGTGACGCCACTGGGGTGTGGAGGAGCGTGGATGCAACTGAAGGGAAGCACGACCAGATCATCAATCAACATGGGGAAAAACATGAAGTCCAGCAATTCATTGGTTAGGCATTCTCTATCCAGTTTACGTGCTTAAACTCTTCCAGCTGAAACTCAAATCCGTTCTCCAAAAGAGAGGTTGGGGCCGGGACGTAGCCTCATGCAGTGGTGACCAATGATGCCCTCTTGGTACCATCTACCAGACTTGGTTGTTCACTTGGGGGTTGTGCCCTCTGTATATCAACCAAGGCCTAGCGGCCTAGCGGCCATCTACTCCTTGGTGGTTTCAACTCACTAACAAAGACATGTGAGTCAGTGGGTTCAAATCATCCCAAGTAAAGGTTGAACATGAACATCTCAACTCGGTTAACGCTTCTCCACTGACTGGGAAGGACTTTTCTTAGAGCACACTTGACCGGATGAATTGAACTTTCTACTCTCTCTCTCTCTCTCTCCCCTAGAAGTCCAGTTCGACCATATTTTGACTGACTGAAGTAAAGGACATTCCTCTTCGTGTCACCTAAAGACTATTCTTTTTATAGTCTTTGACTCCCAGGGTCTCTCTCTATCAACCAACCCGGGCAGTACTGTCAGTAGAATTGTAGGCTCCTGATTCATGCTCATCCCCCAAACATGGACTGTAAAACCTCTTCTGCCTCACGCGCACACGATCGAGTGTGACACGACCAGTAGCTTCCACTACATGGTCAAGATGAAGGCCCTCCCCGGGCCACACAAATTAAAATCAAGGACAAGGGCAAACATAGGAAAACGGGAAATCCCAGGCAACAAGGGCTTGACCCGTGATGCGCCGAGAGATCCGACACAGTTCCTGCAAGCGGCAATCGGACCTGAATGGAAGGCTGCCTCTTAACAATCCAGATGGGGTTGAAACATCAATCAAGTCTACACTGGAATCACCATGGCCCCTAACGTTGAAACGTGGGATGACCAATGAAATCTTCGACCACATCGGTGGTGTTCACTGAAACCCAACACCCGCGGATGATTCCGAGGAGATGCACGTCATCACGCTTCGATTCCCTCCGGAGCTGCCGCTGATCCGGTCCTGCTCCACCAAGAGCTTCCCACGGCTTCGCAGGCGATTTGCGTGGCTGAAGGACGCCTCGACCTGTTGCTGGAGTGCTTCGAAGCTCATCAGCGTGGTCGCCTTGGAAGCCAGAATACGAGGGCGGAGGGAGGGCCGCGGCCAGGGATGGCCGCGCAAGGAGGCACATGAAGATGGGTGTATCAAAACTATGGTCCACTTTCCTGATCAGCAAAACAGAAGATCCATCCAATTCCCTCCAATTCCATGAGTCGTCGAGAAAAAACACCAAGGGCGCTGGCCTCCAACTGAATACCCTTGACCGCATGCGTCTGCAGCAACTCGCGCGCACGAGCCGCACACGCAGGAGAGGAGGGGTCCTCAGCACAGCTGGAGCTGGCTGAGGCAACGGTAAAGAATGCGAAAGTGGCCGCCAAGTGCATCATGACTTGTCGGCGTGGTTCTGTTCGGACTCAAAGGTCAGAATAGAGCTGGAGCCAAAGGTCGGCATGTCTCACGGCATCGACCCAAAGAGATCGACTTGGAAGGCAAATGTGTGGAGTCACAGTCAACAAAACTCCTTGCAAGTCTGGTCTATGACCATCCTAGCGATGAGGCCTTGTGCTTCTTGATGGTGTCTTCAATTTCCTCCTTGTGCGACATGTCCTGCGCCAGGCACGTGACGGAGTCCGGGCACGAATTGAGATCCAGCAGCTGTGATCACCAGGTCTGGCAAACATGGAAGGATGAAGAATTGTCCATCACCAGCAGCACCCCAAAAGATGGTGTTTGTTTGGTATTATACATTGGTAAACTTGGCCCGGCGAATCTGAATCCTCTGATTCCCAGGGGCGAGTAGCTGACGCGAACAGTCCGCAAAGAGATGTCCGATAAATTCAATGGTCCAACTCACGAATTCGGGAGAGTAGCCGACGCCAAAAGCACCCCCCCTCTTACAACAGAGCGCTGTTGCCAGAAGTGCCATGGCATATCTCTGACCTTTCTTACAACATGGGCGTATGTCGTTCTCGAACGTATGGCGTTCTCTCAGTTGTCTTGGTGCACCGAGGACCGAGGTCGATTCATCCCCCATGCGTTCGACCGGACCCCGTGCGGCAGCGACCGTTCCGGCCGGCCGTGGAGCGATGGAGCAGTGGCTGCGGAGGTCATGGATCTCGGTACATAGTCAGCCTACCAGGCTGACGGAGCTCCAGGTACCATGACTCCCTTCCGCACGGCCGGGCGGTTCGTCTTCATGTCGTCGTGGCGACGCCGAGCCTCGTGGTAAGATGGAGCAGGCTTGGCCCAGTCGCAACCCATGAGCGAAAGGCTGGAGCAAATGGCCGGCGAGAACAAGGCGTGGGACGGTGAGAACGTGGACTCTGTTGAACTGTCACCTCCCAGAACATGGAAAGAAAACAACTGCAGCTGCTGCATCCAAATCCAGACACTCTTGTGTAAGGTTCTTACATTGATCCCGGGTCAACCATTCCAACAGGGCGGCATCTATTCCCGTCCCATTATATCATCATGTCTGGGAAATGGACCTCTCCCTGCGTCCCTGCGTCCCTTGGACTTCGACTGAAGACCATGGAAGACACGACATGGGTCTTCCCATGCTCCATGCGGAGGCTTTCTGGCATCAAATCTCCTCTGTCATGGACACTCCAACCAACACCTCCAATCCTCACCATTTGAGGCATTGAAGGACTTGAGAGAGGAGGGGGGTGAACGAAAGGTAGCAGGGAATCAGGCGTAATCCGGGAGGAGGTGAGAGGCCCCCCACTTGTTTGAAGAGAAAGGAGTGAGCGTGATGAAAGAAAGACTAGTGCACAAACGCTTGACAAAACCTCCAGAAGCTGTAGCGGTCTAGCGGTTTCAATACAGGTTGACGTGCCTTCAAAAGGAGTCACATATTTCTCAAATGCAACTTCGGATTTACATAGTGACGTGCGGCGACCCTGTAAATTGCGTGGCCGCAGGCCATGCTTGCAAACAGGACGTGCTCAAAAACACTGGTATTTACGAGGTTTCGTTGCCGTCGATCCACAGCCGCGGCAAGGTCTAAGGCCACGCTTGAAGACAGGAGGAGCTGAAAACACTGGTATTTACGGTATTTTGTAGCCGTCGATCCAAAGGCGCACCACGGTTGAGCGCTGGAAAAGCGCAGAAAACCGTGTAAATACCGGCGTTTTCTGCCGGGAAGGTGCACAAAACCCTGTAAATACCATAGTTTTGTGCAATTTTGAAGCCTCCAAAAGCCTCAAAAACCCTTTCTGACAAAATCTTTACTGGTTTTTGGTCTTTTTTCGGTCATTTTTCTAACCGAGACGCATCAAAAACCATCGGTTTTTGCGGTGTTTTTTGCCGGACAGCCACAAAAAACGCTGTAAATTCCATGATTTTTGGTCACTGCTGAGGACTGGAAGAGCTGAAAACACTGATATTTACAGTGTTTTCGAACGGTTGACCCCGAGGCGCGCTAGGGTGGAGTTGAAAGGGGGGGGGGGGCCCCCTGAAAAGTAGAGCCTCCTGTACAGGGTTCCACTCCAACAGCTGATATAGTGTGTCCATGCTTGACTGCTACAAGGCTCAAGAGAGGGTCAATGGACCTAAAGAGCAAGAGGATAAGACTCTGCGCATAAAAGACACTAGCGGTCTGCACCTCTACCGTGTACGCCCTAGTCACTCTTTCAGTGGTAGCGGAGCTGTGATCCTGGAAGACCCAGGTGAGCTCCTTTCCTAGGCATAGAATTGCTTGTGGGCAAACGGCCATGGATTGGATTGACGACTGGGAAGAGCCTGATGCGGATGTGGCTTATGAGCCAGCAGCCTATGTGAATAGGCATGTGAGAAGAGAACCAGCAGCAATAGCAATGACAACACAGGTCACTACAAAGGTGCCCCCATCTTATGATGGAAAGACTTCATGGTTTTCCTATGAGGATGCCATAGACGATTGGTGTGATATCACCGAGCTGGAAGAAGAGAAGAGAGGACCAGCCTTGAGAAACAGATTAGAAGGAGAAGCAGCAGTATACAAACGTGTATTAGACAGAGATGCATTGAAGGCTAATGAGCCACCAGGAGCAGGAGTAGATTACTTCAAACGAGTACTACGACCATATTTCGTGAAAGGATCAACCAATGTATTCCTATACAGGTTTATGCAATTCGTGCGATTCAATCGAGGATCAGCCGACATGATGAAATGGATGACAAGATTCCAGATTTTACTCCAAAGGCTTATGAGCAGTTGGATGGACATGTTAGAACCAGTCACTCAAGCACATCCCCAAGTCCTTGCTCAGATGCAGGCAGATGCAGCGTTGACTGGAGTAGCACCAACGGCAGAAAGGATTCAGGAAATCATGCAGAATGTCAATGGCAATATGAGAATTCTTCATCAGAACGAATTTCCTCTAGGAGAAAATCTGATTGCTTTACTCATGCTGTCACTTGCAGATTTGTCTCAGGACCAGCGAAACACTTTGACTTCTTTGATGACTCATCGTGGCAGGTACCTGCAGCAATACACTACAACAGAGCTGAGGACAGTTTTCATCGAGATGTTCTGCACGACAAAGACTTCAGTAGACAATCCATTGATGCAGCCGACAGGTGCTGGAGGTAGAAGATCATTTCTCGTATTAGACGAAGGAGAACTCGATGGTACATTTGGCTATTGGGCCGAAGATGAAGAAGATGGAACTGAAGGATTTTTAGATGCCCTGGACGATGTCTTTTGGGTATATGATGATCAAAACTTCTCATGGTTCCAAAGGAGATTCCAAGGAAGAAGAGCCAGAAAAGGCAAAGGAAAAGGTAGAAAGAAAGGAAAAGGAAAAGGAAGATCAGGCCGCAGATTCTTCAGACCTCGTGGAAAAGGAAAAGGAAAGAGACGAGGTAAAGGCCATTTTGCTGATGAGCAACAGACAACTTTTCCAGATGAATACCTTGAAGAGAATCCTTATGAGGACACTTGGGAGTCAAACCAAGGAGCATATGATGCCATTCTTGCCGAGGATATGAATGACTATCTTCAAGGAGAATATGATGACGCCAATGACTTTTGGCAACAGCTTGAAGAAGCATGGTTTTCCCACAAAGGAAAAGGAAAAGGCAAGAGAAAAGGCAAGAAAGGAAAAGGAAAGGATAAAGGAGATGGCAAACAAGATGCAAACTATGCAAATCAACAACAGCCACGTTCTTTACCTGCACCTTCAAGAACTTCACAAGCATCAGGAGGTCAACAATGTTTCTATGCACATTGTGTGACAGCAGCAGCTGAAGTCCATGACAGTGAGGTGGACTTGCTGTCAGGCATGATGACCTCATGCCAAGATGAAGCTGACTGCGTGGTCAACAATGGTGAGACGATCTTCGATGACATGAGTGCCCCTGTGAGGTACTCTTTGTCAAAGGAGATGCTCACAAAGGCTCCTGATGGCTTTGCGCTTATGAGCGCTGATGGCTTTGCGCTTATGAGCGCTGAGGAAGAAGTGAAGGAGATGCAGGCTATTTCATTTTTGACTGAGAATCGCTTCCCGCCAACTATTGCAATCCTGGACATTGGATGCACTAGAGCTATGGGATCAAGGCGAGCAGTCGACCATTTTTGCAACTATGTCGACAATCACCCAGATTGTGGATTATGGTACTCTTTTGAGGCTACCAAGAGCAAGTTTTACTTTGCCAATTCTTAGAAGGCTACTTGCTCTCAGAAACTGGTGATTTACATGTATGATCGTGCATGGACGATCCACCATACAGAGTTCGACATAGTGGAAGAAGGAGAAGTCCCTTTGCTTATGAGCTTGCCACAGATGAGGAACTTAGGCTTTGAACTCAGGCTGACACCTCAACATGCTTATCTTACATCGATGCCTCTTGGTATCAAATTTTTGGAGTTGAAGGTTGCAGCCAGTACTCATCTTGTGTTGGACTTCCAAGATATTGCATGGTATCTGTCTGACGTGCGTTGGCAGACTCAGCGTGAGAAGAGTTTTTACTCTCACCTCACTCACTATGAATATGGCCATATTTCTGTTGAACACAATAGTGATGAAGGTGAAGCTGAGCATGCATATCCTGTGGTTGATTTCTGGGAAGTAGATGTTCACAAGAGAGAACTGATACGTCACCACAAGGATTACAGAAAAATTCTTTTCCCAGCAACTAAGTCCTGTCCTGTAGACACTGACTTGCTGGAAGACTTGCGACTGACAATCATCAAGAAGAAGAAAGGAGGAGAAGAAATCAAGAAGACAGATGATTGGCGCAAGGCAAAATGGAAGGACCTACAACTTGGCTATGAATGGCGTGGTAGAACAATTTTTAAATTTAAGCCAGATGCCAAAATTCCAGATCTAAAGATCAGGAAGGCTGGCATTGAGCACCGTGGCATTGGTGATCCCGATGCAGTGGTGCGCTCCTCCTCAGAGAAGGTTCCCATTGCAAAGGACAGGGAACCAGGCTTCTCGTCAGAGAAGGAACCATCCAGTGCCGCGGAAAAGCCCGCGCCGCCAAAGTTCCGGTATACTTCCAAGGGTTTTTGATCCATTTTGGAAAGGACACAAGTCAAAACCATCTGAGCCTCAGAATGATTTAAAGGGTGATGATCTTGAGGAGTATGCTCCCTCAGAACCACCTGAGAGGCCAGAAGGTGAACTTGTAGAAATTCCTAAAGCATCAAAAGGACCATCAAGTGATAAACATGAACCACTTGAACCAGGTGATGGCGCTCTTGAGCCTAGGCGGATTTCAATCCCATTACCTGGTAGTGAAGTTGTTGCAATGACACCGGCATATAGGAAGATGTTACAGAGACTGGAGGACAAGGTAGAGCTTTATAAGCTTCATGTGAAGCACTACCACATGAGTCCTACTCAGTTTCGTAGACGTGTTTCTATGTTGAAGCTTCCTGACTCTGTTTTAGAGAAGTATGAATCAGTTGTCAGGAACTGCCGTGTTTGTAACACTTCAGTGGCACCTCCGCCACGAGCCAGAGTCTCCGGTATTAGAGCTTCATGTTTTGGTGATGTTGTTTTTGCTGATCACTGTGAGGTTGAACTTCACAAGAACAAGTATATCATTCTACTTGTTCTTGATGGTGCCACAAATCTTCTCTGGGCTACGGCACAGAAAGACCTCATAGATCAAACCACCATCCAAGCATTGAGGCAATGGTCTGATGAGAACAACTGTGTTCCAAAGGCCATCGTAGGAGACGAAGCCTTTTTCACAGATGCTTTTGTTGAATACTACAGGTTCCATGGTATACAACAATGTCCTTGTGGGCCAAGAACTCCTTGGCCAAACCGAGCAGAGACAGCTGTACGTTTGTTTAAACGTATGTGGCATGTTATGAAGGTAGATCTGGATGACCCACGTTTTCGTGGCGTTACGG